CACAACCCTCTGTTTTTTTTCAACTAGCCTGTTGTTCATCCTATTCCTTCTCTTTAAAGACATTCTCATTTTTTAAGAGTCCAGACCAATTTTTTTTTGTAGAATGCATCACAAAATTGATATGCCTGATTGTTTCCTTATAATTAGTTTCAGGATAAATAGTTTTTTGATTCTTATGTAGGTCATTTAATGAACTTTACATTTCATCACATTAGGAATATTGTAATGATGCTTTCTCATCATTGGTGATGTTAATATCATTTAGTTTAACCAGATTTCTACATTCTAATAGTACCTTTCCTGTTTGTGTTTAATAATTAATCATGTGGATATTGTTTTCCATTCCATCCAGTGGTTTAGTAGCCATTCATAATTATTGCCTGAATCAATGATTGCCAAATAGTGATTTCTCAGTTTCATCAAGCCTTCTACAGTTTTCTGGCTATCTTCTCCAAAGAAAAGCTATTCTTTTAAAAAAATTATTTTTATAGTACTGGGGTTTGAACTGAGGGCTTTGTACTTGCTAAGCAGGTGCTCCACTGCTTGAGCCATGCCTCCAGCCCTTTTTTTTTCGTGACAAGTTCTCACTATATAGCCCAAGTGGATCTCAAACTCACAGTCCTCCTGTCTCAGCCACCTGAGTGCCTGGATTACAGATATATGCCTTTCTCTTTTTATTTTCGGTATCACTATATATGTAAGGATTCTTTTTTTTCAAGTACTTACTCAGTGTGTTATAATCTGTTATCATCCTTTTTTGTGATGATGAAATTATCTCTAATTTGGCAGTGGCAGTCCCTTTAAGCTGGCTCTGTGGCCTTTAGATATGTCTACATTGATATTTGAATACTTTCTTACTCTTTCATATAATAAAATGTTTCCTTGCTCACCTGGCACATTCCCTGCTGGAGACCTGGAATCAGTCATTTTACCATGGAGTCCTGGTAAGGACTTTGTGACTTCTCACTAAATCCACTTTAGTGAGAAATAATGCTTAGAAACCAAGATTTGACCATTAAACATGCTCATTGCTCTTCTTTTTATGGACACACACACACATACTTTTTTTTTTTTTTTTTGGTGGTACTGGGGTTTGAACTCAGGGCCTTACACTTGCTGGGCAGGCAGTCTACCACTTGAACAATTCCACCAGTATGCATGCACACACTTTAAAAAAGAAATCATGAATTCATAGAATACCTTCAACTCAAATTCAGCACTGAAGAGTTCTCTTTACCTTCACCCAATTCATATTTGTATCTCCTTTTTTTCCCAGAGAGAGAATTTGGATTTTCCACACATCAGTATATTTACTCATCAAATCTATCATAATACATAAAATAATTTTAGATTATTAGCTCATAACTACCTTCAACAACAAATCCACCAAATAAAGATTTCTTTGCCATTGTATATCCTTAGGATATATACCACTAAAGGTATACAGTTAAGGTAGAAATTCAAAAGTTATTTTAATTATTTTTTCCTTATATTATCAATTTAAAATATAGCTATGTTTCTATAAAACTACTTTTTAATAGATTCTATAAAATCAGTTATCTGTAAACTGCTAAAGTCAACATAAAATTTTAAAATCTTATGGTTAAAGAAAACTGTAGAACAATTATATCAGCTAAAGAGCATGTAGTTTTAACATTAGTAAGGATTTAACATTGTAGCTCTATTTTCCAATTGATACATTACTATTTAAAATTAGGAATGTCAAGAAAAGTGACATCAAACACTTCTATTTGTAAGTCAAAACAATTGTTTGTGAACATTTTAAACAATGCTTTTCTTTTGGTTGATGATACAATTCAAGCATTATCTTTAACAATAGGCATAATTGTTGAGGATACTTTAATTAATTCCTAAGTATTATGTCTAGTGTTTTTCTCTATTTTCAGAATAGAAAGGTTTATTTATGTATCCTTGTTCTTTGTATTTGAAGAGTGCCATTTGGGACTATGTTTTACCCTGTGATATTATTCATGTGTGAATGTTCACATTGGAAAGGGGAAAATATTTCTTTTTTAGAACACTTTATTTCTCTAGTGTGAGAGGGCAGGAACTGAGTTTCATGGCTCATTTTATCTCCTTTAGTGCCTTGCAGGAGTAGATACTCAAATACTTGTTGAATGAATGTATGTTTGTATTTAAACGACATGTACTTACCAGCCTCATTAATGCAGATGCATCTTTTTCTTGGCCCTAGAGTAAATATGCAATGGAACATGGGAAAAAGCTATCCATATTTACTCCTTCTGAACTTGAAAATCACTATGTCTTAAATGGAATTCCCCATTTAACCATCGCCTGCTTCACTTGAATTCCCTGTTTCTGGTGATAGGATCACTGTCTTCCTAGATGTCAGACCTGAAACCTCGGATTCGGAATTCCTTTAGCCTGTGCACCTTCATATATTTGTATGGTATTGTTATTTCTACCATTTCAACTTGTTGCTTTTGCCTCCTCATTTCTACTCCCCTTACCGCTACCACTCACTCATGTCTTCTAATTGAAGGAATTGAAGATATTTAATGTGGAAAAGAATATCGCCTGGGCTGTCAAACAGGATGATTAGTTTTTGAAAACACAAGGAGGACAAGAAAGGGAGAAATTATAGGGAGACAGAATTTTGATTCTGTATAATATCTTTTTAGGAAGGGTAGTTGTATAAAGGTAGCTGGTATCATGTAGTTGATATGGATACTCTGGCACAGTTAATTAGTGAAGAATAAACAGCTTAAAACATTATTGACTTTTAAATTTAAACTATTACGTTTTCAGTTTAGTACAGTGCTTGTTAAGCAAGTACTGAGCTCCTTGCTCTGGAAGTGTCAGTAAAGGGCTAAGGGAGTGCAGTTGGTGGAGGATGTTGTAAAGGAGATCTCATTACTGTGGGTTAACTGTGGACTGGGTGATCATCCATCATCTGTGAGTCTAAACCAGAGCAGATCAGATTCTTTGGAATGTGTGATAGTTTTTTTTAGTCTTTTAAATTTATATATTTTCTTTTACTGTTTTTCTCCACACAAGCACTGTTGGTTAAGAGAGATCACCTGGAGTGTACCGGGTAGAAATACTAGTCAGGAACTATCGTTAATATTAATGCTTCTAATTATTAGATGCTTTGTAAATTACTTTTTAATCCTGAGAGTTTGACAACCTTCAGTTCTTAGGGGGATTATTAACGTTTTGTTGATAAATCGCTTGATCTTCTGTGTTAATATGTAGCTTACAAGGTTGCATTTTAAAGTTTGGAGACTTCAGACATTTCTAGTTAATTTAAACTCATTGGGTTACTGAGATCCTAATGTAATTAAACATTTATTTATCAAACTATAGTAAATATTATGTTTTTCTTACAGATAAGATCAAGACTTAAGACAGTCCAGATATAGTTAATAATTGTTATTGTAGTCTTCAAGTAAATGATTGACATCCTTAAATTCTTTTTTTCCATTTAGGATGGTTAGGATGACTTTGCATAAGCAACGAACACATAATATGCAGTGTGGCAAGCGGAGGTTTTTGCCACAAGTCATGTGTGAGTGCAAATGTGTGTCTACTTAATCCTTCCTTCCTTCCTCCCGTCCTTCTCTCTTTCCCTCCCTTCCATCTTTCTATGAATTTATTTTTCAGTACTGGGGATTGAACTCAGGACCTCCTGTTTGCTAGGCAAGTCTCTACCACTTGAGCCAGTCCACCAGCCCTGATTTCTGGTTTTATATTACCATGCTTAGAAAGGTCTTTCATACTTCAAGATTTTTTGAAAAAAAATTTTTTTGGTGATATTGGGATTTGAACTCAGGACCTCACTCTTGTTAGTTAAGCATTCTACTACTTGAGCCACACTCTCAGCCCTTTTTGCTTTAGTTTGTCTTTCTGAGAGGGTCTAGTGCTTTGCCTGGACTGGGCTGGGAATGCAATCCTCATACCATAGCCTCCCACTTTAGTTGAGATTACAGGCATGTACAACCATGCCTGACTTGTTTATTGAGATAAAGTATCACTAACTTTGCCTGTGCTAGTCTCAAACTGCTATCCTCTTGCTATTTCTGCCTCCCAGAAACTAACTGGGATTGTAAGAGTGGACCACCAAACCTGACTGAAATTTTTAAACCTATATTTCACTGGAGTATAAACACATATGCTCTGTGTTCCCATTTGCTTTTAAAATTTATTATTATTATTGTGCTGGAGATTAAGTCCAAGGCTTTACACATGCAAGCACTCTACCACTGAGCTACATCTCTCAGCCTTTTTGTTTGTTTGTTTAAGACAAACTTTCAGTATGTAGCTCAGACTGACCTGGAACTTGCTTATGTTGCCCAGGCTGGCTTCAAAATTGCAATCCTCCTGCCTCAGTGTCCCAAATGCTGAGATTATAGGAATTTGCCACCATACCTGTCTGCATTTGCAGTTAGGTCTTTGATTCATCTAGAATTGAGGTAGTCATGGAGCTTTATTTTTTAAACAGGTTAGCATATTATTCTAGTACTATTTATTAAATTTCCCATCTTTTCTCACTGATGTAAAATATCTCTCATATCAGGTACTTAATTCTTAAATATGCTTGGGTTTATTTCTGTACTCTGTATTATGTTTTATTCAGTTTCATCTTGTGCTAATAAGAATAATAAATTTAAATAGCTCTAAAGTTTAATTGTCATAGTTTTATAATGAGTTTTAATATGCAGTAAGGCAAATCTCATTAGGAATTTTTGGTTATTTCTTTATAAAGTGTCTCAATTTATAATTCCTTCCAACATCACCTTTCAAAATAATCTTTGCTCTAAAGTTAAGGGTTTTAGAAACAGTAATTTAAAGTTTTGGTACAGAAATAAAGTTGGTTCAATCTTTATGAAAGAATGGAATTCACTTTTAGTTATATGAAAAGTAACCACCATGAATTATTAAGCTGGTAATAGTTTGACTTTAGTTTGGCTGTAGGTAATAATTTTATTAATACAACCAGTGATGATAAATGTATTCTTATGTAATATTAAGGATATGTTCTAAAAACATTTTAGATGTTTCACATTCGGGAATAAAGTTATTCTGACCTAGTAGTCCAAGTAGCAGGAGTTTCAACCAAAATAATAATAAAACAGCTATTTAGGACTCATTATCTAAGATGCAGACTTTCCCATGCAAAATGCCTAATTTCTTCCTGTCTTCATCTCCCACAACAACTTTAGGACATCTTGACTTCCACATTCTTGCTAAGGACCATCCAGAGTGTTAACTGGTGTCTGGTGTTGGGAACTGTTGGAACCAAAGTCTTCCCTGCAGTCTACTTTCTTTCTCACATAGGAAGAAAGTACATGTATGCACTTCTCTTGCCTAACAATTTTGGATTTAGAAGATTCAGGTTTTGTGTCTCTTAAAAAAATAAACTTTTATTTTTGGGTGGTACTGGGGTTTGAACTCAGGACCTCGAATTCTGTTGGCTCCAGATGGAAAAATAAACTCTGAAACACTTATAGAAATGCTATATGTTCTTTGTATAAGATTTGGAAAATGGGGATAATCATGATATAAAAATGTGAACCACTCAGAGAAATTATTGTTCACATTTTAGTGTACTTCTTCTTAACCCACTCCCTGCCTGTGTGATCTGATGCATAAAGGTTCAGATTCTACAAATTGTTTCCCCACCTTCACATGCTTCAGCATGTGGGCAGGTGAGGAGTGACAGGAGAGGAAGCTGTGTAAGTGGGCAGAGCTATATCATTCATATCATCCTTAAGAACCAGGTAGGAGCCAAATGCTGGAGGGTACAAATGTATAAGGCAAAGCTCTTGAGGAGCATGTTAGTAGCTCTAATTCTTGTTTGTATATCAACACTTGAGGAATTAATTTTAATCTCCAGATCTTTCCTTTGAGTTCCTATGGAACTGTTGGACATATATGTATATCCAGCAGCCTGGTTAACATCTGCAGAATATATCTAGACTATAAGCTACATGAAAGCAGGTATTTAATTGCCTTTGTTCTCTGTAGTGCCTAGAACAATGCCTGGTAAAATTTATTAAATGATTAAGTAAATGAATTTTCTATTTGTATCTTTCAGAGACATCTCAAATTCCACACACTTCAACTTTATGATCTTTTTTCCTTTAACCTGCTCCTCTGCTAATGTTCCCTAATTCAATTATAGGCACCATCTGCATGGTTATATCTTTGACAGATCTCTGATCCTTACCTTTCCCATTCATCACCAAAACTTACTGAATTTTTGACACGTTTCCTTATGTATCCATTTCTGTCCACCTTTACTGCTTGAGGCTAGGCTGGTATCAATTCTTTCTTAGTCCTATACAATAGTAGTAAACTCACTATCCTTGTCCTTTCTAATCTGTTCTTCATGCTACTATTAGAGTAAAACAAACCAAAAACCAAGCCCACAGACTCTGATTCTGATACTTTCTGTTTGAAACCAGCTACTTTTTGGATAGAGAACAAAATTCTTAACCTGGTCTATAGGGCCCTGCATGCTCCCACCCTTGTATAACCCGCTAGCCTCATCATGTTCCACTTTTTTGGACTTTCTGTACTGTAGACACATTATCTTTTTAAACTCTTCCAGTAAATCGTGTTTTCTCCTGCCTTAGACATATGTATAATTAGTAGCTTTTAATACATATTATAAAATAGAATGCCTGTTAGAGAAATGAATGTACCAGTATTTTTGAGGAGATATTTATAACCCTAAAAGGGCAATGTTCTCTGCAGCATTCTTTTCTTGAAAAGTGAACTGTGACTTACTGCAAATAAGGGCAAACCTTTTGCTGCATCAGATTATATCACTCATCTCAATTTTCCCTCAAGTCAAGTTATGAAACACACTTATGAGCTACATTTATTCTTATCTTAAAAGTAAAGAAAATTTCAGTTATAAATTTAAACCTTTCTGTTTTTCAAAAAAAAATGCCTCAGTATTGAGATAGGAAGGAAATGTAGAAAATACCATCATTTAAAAAACAAGACAGAACATCTAGACTTTATATGAAAGTAGTGACTTCGTCAATTTAAGTAGAAGTTTCCACTTTGAAGATAGCCAGCATTTTTAACAAGATTTCAAATCACCTCTCATACCAAATAATATATATCTCATGTTCCTAAGAAGCAACAAAGCTAAGCTCTGTTAACTAAGGTGGTTTGTTGAATTCAGTTGTGAGTGACTGGGAGATAGTACTTGGTTTTATGTGACAATTTTATTCTTACATATTTGGTGTTCATTATTTTATACAGATAAAATACTTATAGAATGTTATATTCTATAAGATTTCCATTTGTAAAACGAGACTGTTTTGCTCATTTTCACTTCAAATTTTATCTAATCATCTAAGTAACTAGCAGAATGTGTACTGATTACTTTTTTTTTACTTATTTCTTTTTCTTTAAGTCAGAATGGAAGCTTAAACTCTACAAAAGAATGCAATCAAGTGATGGCTTTTTCTTTAGCGTTTGAATATGGAGGCCACAGGAACAGATGAAGTTGACAAGCTAAAAACTAAATTTATATCTGCTTGGAACAACATGAAATACAGTGAGTGTCATGATTTGAACATTATGAAGCATTTGGAGATGTGTGTTATCTTCCTTAAGTCACTGACAAATACTTGAGAATGAATGAAATACTTTACCATGAGTGAAATGTTTCTGTAAGCAGCATAGATAAGAATCTTCTGAAGAGAGAGCTGAACAAACATTGCTTAGAAACTCAAACATACTAGGTGGTACCTTTTTTCCCCTAAGTTGATAGAGTATATTGATATCCTCATGGTTTCTGTAATTTTTTTTTTTGGTGGTACTAGAGTTTGAACTCAGGGCTTCATGCTTCGTAGGCAGTTACTCTACTGCTTGAACCACACCTCCAAGCCCTTTTTGCTTTGGTTATTTTGGAATTTGGGGTCCAGGGGAGCTCACCTTTTGCCCAGGAGCTCAATCCTTCTATTTTATGCTTCCTGCTGTTCACTGGGATGATAGGCATGTGCCACCATTCTTAGCTTTTTTTTCTGTTTAGAAGGGGGTCTCACAAACTTTTTGCCTGAGGTGGCCTAAAACCATGATGCTCCTGATCTCAGTCTGCCATGTAGTGTGAGATGACAGGTATACACTGCCATGCCCAGATATTGGTTGAGATGGGGTCTTGTGAACTATTTGCTTGGGCTGGCCTCAAACCATGACCCTCCTGATCTTAGCTCCCAATAGCTAATATTATAAATGTGAGCCACTGTGCCTGGCTTAGTTTCTTTCTTTCTTTTTTTTTTTTTTAACATCCTGAAGTAGCTAGAATTTATTCAGGTGATGATGATAAAGTGTCATTTTTTTTCAATTTCAGGCATCCTCATCGCCAAACCAGGGAGTAGGCAAAATTGACTTCTGAACACACAAAATAGATGGTATCAAGTTCATGCACTGATAGACTGATAGCATTGACTTTTCTCCCTCAAGCCTTCATTTTGAACCTAGTTACTCTTGGCTAACAAAATACAAACAAACAATCAAATCTAATAAAGATTATTGGAATTGAAAAAGCCCTTAAGCATGGAGAAGTACTCAGGCAGAGCTAGTTTCAATAGGAAGAAGTTTATATCCATAAAATAGGAATGAACAAAATTCAGCAAAGCCCCTAATAGTGCAAATATGGGTAAAACATAATGGGCATTCGGCTTCTGGTCCACTGGAAGTGATGGTAAGCTAGCTATACAGATAGTCATAACTTGGCAATTAATGTTACATTGCATTTTGAAAGATTTGAAAATTAATTCTTAACAGCTGAAATGTATTTCATATACTATAAAATGTGCCCTTTTAAGAGTACAATTCAAATTTTAATTTTTTAAATTCTTAAATTTTTTGTGGTGTTGGGATTGAACCCAGTGCTTTGTGCATGGTAAACATGCACTCTACCACTAAGCTATACCCTCAGCCCCAATTCAGATTTTTAAACTGTCAATTTTTAAAAGGTACAACTCAGTGGTTTTTAATATAATTCCAAGGTAGTGCACCATCATCAATATCTAATTCTAGAGCATTTTTGCCATCCCCCAAAGCAGCCCTGTGTTTATTAGCAGTTACTCCCTATTTCCCCTTTCTGCAGCTCCTGGAAACCACCAATCTACTTCCTGTCTCTATAGATCTGACTACCCTGGACATGTCATATAAATGGAATCATATACATTTTGACCTTTTGTATCTGGCTTTTCTCAGCATAAGTTTTCAAGATTCATTTGTGTTGTAGCATATATGTATTAGTACTTTATTTATTTATGTATTTATTTATTCTTTTGAGATAGAGTCTTGCAAAGTAGCCAGTACTTCATTTTTCTATATGACTGAAAAATATCTCATTGTGTGGCTATTCCACATTTTGTTTACCTGTGCATTTGGGTCATTTCTGTTTTTTGGCTACTATGAATAGTGCTTCCATGAACATCATGTGCAAATCTTTGTGTGAATCTATCTTTTTAATTCCTTGGCTCTATACCTAGCAGTGGAACTGCTGGGTCATATGCTAACTCTTAATTTTAATTTTTTTTTTCTTTTTCTTTTTTGGTGATGCTCGGGGTTGAATTCAGGGTATTGCGCTTGCAGGAGCTCTACTACTTGAGCTACTCTGCCAGCTCCTCTAAGTTTAAATTTTTTGAGGTACTTGCAAACTTTACCAGAGTAGCTGCACCATTTTATGTTTTTGTAAGTAATGTTCGAAGGTTTGAATTTTTCCATATCCTTGCTAAAACTTGTTATTGTTCTTCTTTTTATAAGCGCCATCTCAGTGTGTGTGAAGCAGAATCTCACTGTGGATTTAACTTACATTGTCTTTTTTTACCTTACTGGCTAGTTGTATATCTTCTCTGCAGAAATGTTTATTCAAGAGTTCTTTATATATTCTAGACACAAATTCTTTAGTAAATATATGATTTGAAAATATTTTCTCCCATTCATGGTTTGTCTTTTTATTTTTATGGTAGTGTTCACTGATGCACGAAACTTTTTAATTTTAGAAGGCAAAAAAATGAAACTTTTTAATTTTGAGGAAGTTCAGTTTTTGTATTTTGTCTGGTTACTTGTGATTTTGATGTCAGAGTAAAACTGTTGTTTACTGATCATGAACATGATCAGTAAAACATGATCAAGATCATGAACATTTATATGTGAGTTTCCTTTTTAGGGATTTATTGCTTTAGCCCTTGTATTTAGATTTCTGATCCATTTTCAGTTAATTTTTGCACATAGATTGAGACATACGTCCAACTTTATTGTTTTGTGTGTGGCTATCTGTAGATCATTCTTTTGACATGTTGGTATGATTCAGCATCCTCATACCTGTGGAGAAACAGAGATAAGTGGCAGTGTCTTATGAGAAGTTTTGAGTTCATTTATGTACCTGACTTTATGAAGTATTAAAGGAAGTCAGTCTGTCATGAGGGATTAGGCACTGCCAGGATCTGTATAGGAAATAGAAGCAAATAGAAGGGAATGCATACTTTAGGATTGATGGTTGAACTGTAAAGCACTATAAACGTGCTCTTTTGAGTGTGGCCCCTTTCAGTGCCTCTGGCTCTGACCAGTCAGATTTACAACCCTTCCTTTCTTGAAAAAGGATTGATGGGTATTTGGTAAGAAGAAGTAGGTAGAGGATAAACCACAGGGAGAAATGGACAAATTTCTCCTTAATGGTTGTTTCTTTTATTTGAACTTGTTTTATTAAGTTCTTAGGATTTGCTTTGGAAATACTGCCTTTATTGGAGAGAGGGTTACTACTGCTTTGGGGATTAGAATCATTCTAGTATGTATAATATTTCTAAAACATAATATATGTAAAGCCCTAGCCTAGTTCCTGGTATATAATAGATAAATACCAATTTCCCATTGAAGTTTAGGAGAAGAGAACCAGATCCAAGTGGGAGAAGAAAAAAAAATGGCTTAGAAGAACATATTTGAGCCAGAATAAGTAGAATTTAGTTGGGCTGATACTGGGGAAGACGTTTTTGGCGAGCCAAATGGCAAAGCCCCCCTTGAGTAAAGATGGCTAGTGAGAAAGATCCTTTATATCCCACTGTGGAAAGTCCTTCGTGTGCCTCACAAGTTCATAACAAATCTGTTTAGTAATGAGAAATAGGATGTGTTTTGAGCAGAAGCTCTCAAAAAAGGCTGAGCCACAGGGAGTTTAATTTAACAGTGATGTGTTACATTTGTTAGAAAGGGGAAAGACTGACCTTAAGCAACTATTTTGTTGTCTCACAATAATCCAAGTGAAGTTCAGTGAAGCCTAATGTGTATCTGACTTCCCATTCTCTTTTACCACCAAATTAAGAGACTTGTATCATCTTTATTTTAAGTACATATTTTTCTTCATTTGTGTAGTACCTTTATGAATATCTTCACAAAAATTACCCCTTTTATATTTTTGTTACAGCTTCGTTAAATATAAAGGCAGGTAATCTATATAAGATTAGACTAAGTCTGTCAACTCCCAGGTCCATATATTTTTTTTCTATTTATATATGCTTGTGTTTTAGGAGATACTTTTTTTTGAGAGAGAGGATTTTGTGTAGCCCAGGGTGGCCTCTAACTTGTGATCCTTCTGCTATGCTTCCTGGGTGCTAGGATTATAGACATGTACCACTATGTCCTGCTGTAGGAGATATTTTTAAGGTGAGCATTAGCAGACAAGAATTTTATATATTTGGAGTATCTGGCAGTGTAGCTGGCAGATGCTTTTTTTCAGGATATTCAGAATGGTTAATGCTGTTATGAGGATGGATACTACCTTTTTCTTGGATGTGACAATTTAATAGGAAGAAAATGTGAAGAATTAGAGTTTGCAACTGAAGTTAGGGGTTTAGGATTGGGAGGTTGAAAATTGAGATTAGGATGTCTGAAAGTTTTATATACCACATTCAGAGACCTTCGTTTGGCTAAAATTAAGAAATTAGAGCAGATTTACCTAGGAACCTTTTATCATGAGCAGTAGACTACTGTGTGTTCTTTTCCTAAATTGTATCCCAGGAATGTTCAAATACTTTAAGCCTTTTAGTTATCTAGATGGAAAAAAACAAACATAAAAATTTATAATATTTGTTGTCTTGATGAGAAGAGGTTAGGTAGAATTTTTACCTTTTTAATTTTGTACCGTTAAGAACATTGTGATCTGTCAAAGTAAGTTAAGATAATTATTTTCTTTTTTATGTTAATTAAGTAGATGGAATGTAGCTAAAAGACTTAAGTAGCATAAATGGCCCCTATTTTTAGTTGATTGTTCAGATATTTTGCAACTCTTGTTAAAAATACATATCCACAAGTGATATTTAAGGGTTTAGAATTAAATAAAAAAAATACTGCTAGACTCTCAGTTTGAAAACTTTTCATAGCAAAACCTTTTCTCTTTTCATTTAGGCTGGGTGTTGAAAACAAAGACATATTTTAGTAGAAATTCCCCTGTATTATTGCTTGGAAAATGTTACCATTTTAAATTTGAAGGTAAGTGGTCAATTTGTAAAGCATCTGAAAATCTTTGAAGAATTTCATTGTTCAACTGTTTTTATGATTTTGTTTTCAATTTAATTTCTCAGCGTGTCTCTGCTCGGTACCTCCATTTTGTCTGACACATAATATCTTACCAGAGGGATTTGTTCATGTGAGCTCCTTGTGGATAAGATCTTGTCATCTTTTATTATATTCCTTATAGTTTTGACTTTCAGTCAGCATGAGTTCTAAGTAAATATTTGAATTGATATATTAATATTCTTTATCAATTCTTTGATAACTTTGAAGTATGTGATAATAATGAAAATTATTATCTTAGTTAACCTAAAATGGTTGTTTTTTGAACTCAAGGTTTAGTAAGATTTCTAAACAGGCAATCTTACTGCTTGAGCTACTCCACCAGCCGGTTAATTCTTACGGCTGCTTCAGTATCTCAGTTGGCTTTATTTAATGTGTCTGAATTTCCACATATATGCAATTCATTTAATAATTACCTTTTAAAAAATTATGCCACTAACTGAATACCAGTTTGTAATTCTTACAAATCTAAAAGGTAGATTCAGGTGTCTCCACCTTATGAATGTGAAGGCAGAAGTTTAGAGAAGTTAAATAATTTGTCCAAAAATTTAAACCAAGATGTGTCTCTAACACTGGTATTTTTATTATACATCTTTGGTTGATTGTGTGTGTATGTGTAAGAGAGAGAGAGAGAGAAAATGAATGTATATATGTGTAAGAGATATAAGAAACAGGAGAAAAGAGTGGGCGAAAGCATGTTATCAAGGTATATTCATTTTTGGTTGACTTATTTTGGAATATCATTTATCAGCAATTCTCTAAAAACATATAAATAACTTGTAATAACTTGTCAGTATTAATTGAGCAGTAATTCTGGCCAGGAGTATTCTAAGTAGTTACATGCCTTGACTTACTGAGTCCTCAAAATAATCTTGAAGGGATGAATAGGGAATTGGTAGATAGTATGCAGCTTAGGTAAATAGAGTGGCATGATGAAAGTAATAGCAGTGAAACAGAGAGATGCCCACTTTAGCTCTGGTGGGACATACTTCTGAAAGGACCAAATTATGGAGGAGGAGCTTGAATTCTATGTAAAGCTAGGTCACCTATACATACACATATTTTAACAGACAAAGGACAGCCACAACGGAGTGCTTATCTGGGTTTGAGTTTTTTCTCTTTTTTGCTTTTAATTGTTACTTTAGATAAATTATTCTGTCTCCCTAAATTTTTTTTTTTTTATTTTGTGGTACTGGGGCTTGAACTCAAGGCCTTTACCTTGAGCCACTTCACCAGCCCAAGTTTTGTGAAGGGTTTTTTGAGATAGGGTCTCATGAACTATTTGTCTGGGCTGGCTTAGAACCACAATCCTCCTGATCTTTGCCTCCTGAGTAGCTAGGATTACATGTGTGAGCCACTAGCACCTGACCGATCTCCCTAAGTATTAATGACATCTTTTGCATAGGTGTTTAGTGATGTGTCTGGTGCACATAAAGCATTCTAAATGATATTTGTGATAGAAGGAATTTGTACAAAGGTATGAGAATTTTTTTAGGGTTTCTGCATTATATAGCTTTTGGAAGAAATACTTAGAAAACTAAGTGGATTTTTGGGGACCTAAGAGATGAAAAGTAATTGATTCAGAGGTTATGAATGAGACAAATAGGAGACCTGCTCTTGACTAGTTGTAGGGATATAGGAAAGAAGAAGGCTATGAGGAGAGGGATGAAAAAAGGAGAGAGCCAGAAAGGTAGTAGGAGGCTGCATGTCCATTGAGATGGTCCCTTGTTAACTTCCTGTGATCTTCAGTAAAGTCAGTGGAACTCATGAAAAACGATATAAAAGAGGAGTTCTTTTGGAAAAGGGTTGAATTTGGCATTTGGAATGAAAAAACATGAATCTTTGCAAGAACTTGAAGCAGGTAGGACTGAAAGTTGAAGCTATTAGGATTAGTGGAAGTCTTGGGGCTACATGACTTCTACATTTCGAATAATTTTTGGTTCAAACAAGTTTTAGAGAGGTAGAGGATGGAATTACCAGCTACTTAATCATAGTGGTTATTGTCTTAGATTTTTTTTTTTTAGTGAAATGCCAGATTTCATTAAATTATTTTCAGCAATTATTTACTGAGAATATACCAGCTAGGATATTGATCATACCCAGAAGGAACACAAGAAAATTATAACTAAATATATGCTTAAGAAATACACAGGTTTCTGCTCTCGGTTCCTGACACTGAGCTCCTAAAATTCCTGTAATCTGCTGAATGATAGAGGTACTTAGGAGCATCTTGGTCTTTGACCTAAGTTCCTGACATAGAGCTCCTAAATCCCTTGTAGTTTCCTGGGTAATTAGAATGTGTCTTTTGTTTTAATGTGGTGACTTTTGGTGGGCTCCTGGATGGAAGCTGGTCATCAGAAAGACCAAGCCATGATTAGAGGCCTGGAATTTACAGCTCCAATTCCAGCCCTCTGGGGAGGAGAGAGGAACTGGAAATTGAGCTAATAATTGATCATGCCTACTTGATGAAGCCTCATAAAAATCCTTGGAAGTGCAAGATTGGGAGAGCTTCTGGGTTGGTGAACAGATCCATCTGCTGAAGGGTAGTGACTCTTAACTCCACAGTGACATAAATTCATGTTTTCAGTACCTTTCTGAACTGGATATATGCTCTTTGTACCTCTTCATCTGTGCACATTATCATATCTTTTATAGTAAATCAGCAGAACATTTGCCTAGTATGAATAAAAAGACCTGGGTTTAATCCCAGCACTGCCAAAAAAAAAAATCCCATTATGATATTTGTGATAAAGCAGAAATATTGATTGATGAATCCATTTGACAATACTCTTGAATTTCATGAATTCACTCTGCCTGAGATGTACTTTTTTTTGGCAGTACTGGGGTTTGAACTTAAGGCCTCATGCTTGTTAGGCAGATATTCTACCACTTGAGTCACTCCACCAACCCTTTTTTTATGTGGGTATTTTTGAGATAGGGTCCTGCTTTTTTTGCTTGGGCTAGCCTCAAACACGATGGATTGGATGAACCAAACCAGGGTCTATTGTATGCATATATGGAAATTTCACAGGAAACCCCCTGTATAACTACTATAAACTAACAGATACATTAAAAAAAGGAAGTATTGGCAATTACAACACTATAAAGGGAGATCAAATCAGAAAGGATGCTATGAAATGCAAATAGGCAGAAAGTTCATGTCAAAATGACTTAAACCATATAGGGATTTATTATGATACACATGCAGAACTTCTGAGGTAGGGTGACTCTAGATTGGTTAATTTGGTTCCTTAGTATCATTGCAAAGGACCTATATTCTGTCTGTATTCCCACTTTGCTAATCTTAGTGTGTTGTCCTTACCTTTGCCTATTTCTCTGTATAGTTGCAAGTATAGAAGATATGATACAATCCAGTGGAAAGACTTTTTCCTTTTGTATTACTTATTATTAAAACTAGTTTTTTGTGTGGTGCTCAGGATTAAACCCAGCACCTAAGGGCCTTAGGCATGCTAGGCAAACACTCTTCCATTGACCTACGCTCCCAACCCTTGGTTATTTTTAATAATTTTATATTATTCTAAATTTTGAAATAAAATTCTGAAATTATTCATACATAAAGAAGATAAGAAACTTGTATGTACACTTTCAAGACTAGTAATAAAACTATACTCAAAATAAGAAATTTTTGAATAATTTAAAAATCTCCGTGCACTTCTACCTTCTACTTCATTATATTCCTTCCTATTTCAACACCCCCCAGAACCACCATCCTGAAGTGTCCTTAATTATGTGGTGTTTTCTTTTTTATAAATGGAATCATGCTGTATTTTGCTTTGTATTAATTATGGCTTTCACAGCCAAGATGCCCCACCACTGACAAATGGATTAAGAAAATGTGGTATCTATACACAATGGAATTTTATGCAGCCATGAAGAAGAACGAAATGTTATCATTAGCTGGTAAATGGATGGAATTGGAGAACATCATTCTGAGTGAGGTTAGCCTGGCCCAAAAGACCAAAAATCGTATGTTCTCCCTCATATGTGGACATTAGATCAAGGGCAAACACAACAATGGGATTGGACTTTGAGCACATGATAAAAGTGAAAGCACACAAGGGAGAGGTGAGGATAGGTAAGACACCTAAAAAATTAGCTAGCATTTGTTGCCCTTAACTCAGAGAAACTAAAGCAGATACCTTAAAAGCAACTGAGGCCAATAGAAAATGGGGACCAGGAACTAGAGAAAAGGTTAGATCAAAAAGAATTAACCTAGAAGGTAACACCCACGCACAGGAAATGTGAGTCAGTACCCTGTGTAGCTATCCTTATCTCAACCAGCAAAAACCCTTGTTCCTTCCTATTATTGCTTATACTCTCTCTACAACAAAATTAGAAATAAGGGCAAAATAGTTTCTGCTGGGTATTGAGGGGGTGAGGGGGAGAGGGAGGGGGTAGGGGGAAGAGGGAGGGGGTGGAGTGGGTGGTAAGGGAGGGGGTGGGGGCAGGGGGGTGAAATGACCCAAGCCTTGTATGCACATATGAATAATAAAAGAAGAAAAAATTATGGCTTTCAATGTTGTATTTTTGAGTTCTCATTCATTATTACTGCTGCATAATATTCCATTGTATGAATTACCCTGAATTGTTAACTCTACTGTTCATAGATATGTGAATTTTTTTTCACTGTAGACATATACAGTACATTGTTTTTTTTGCAACAGGGTTTAGCTATGTAGGCCAGGCTCTTGAACTCTTGATCCTAGTGCCTCTGCCTCCCGCATACTGGGATTTGAGACCTGTAGCACCATGCCTGGCTACAATCTTGAATTATTGTGGAAATACTATATTTTCAGAATTGTTTGAAATACAATATGTGCTTTTTATTAAAAATATCTGCATGCAAGAAGGAATGAACCCAGGGATTGTGTGGTGCTGGGGCTTGAACTCGGAGCCTCCTGCTTACAAAGCAAGCATTCTACATTTAAGTCACACTGTCAGTCCTGGACCCAGGAATTGAGCCCAGGGCCTTGGGCATTCTAGGCAAGCTATCTACCATTGAGCTACACACATAGCCCTTTGTTATTTTTTTTATTTTTATAAATTTTTATATATATGTATTTTTTTTTTTTTGTGGTGGTACTTAGGTTTGAACTCAGGTTCTCATGCTTGCTAGGCAGGTGCTCTGCCACTTGAACCACTCTGCCAGCCTCTTGTTATTTTTAATATTTTATATCAGTGTAAATTTTGAAAAAATTGAAATTATTCATAACAGAAGATAAAAATTTGTATTTATACTTTTAAGACTAATAATAAAACATTAGAAATTTTTGAATAATTTAAAAATCTTTGGGCCATTAGAAAAATATCATATTTCTTATCCATTTTATGGATTCTCTTTTTCTAATAAGTATAACCGCAAACCACCCTCTTACACTTTTCCAAAAGTTGTTTTGATATTCACAGGGAGGGACACCCTTGTATTTAAAAGCATACAAAATTAAATTGAATTAAATATAATTAAAAAACAAGAATAACTGTAAACAAGGTCAAATATGCATTTGAAAGGAGATTAAAATATACATTTTGAAAAATAATGGGGTCACAATAAACAAGGTAACGTATAAAAAAGGGGAGTTCCTGTAAATATAGTAAAGGGAAGTCACAGCAAACAAAGTAGTGTTGAAAGGAATTATAATATCTTTATAGAGTACAAGGGAGTATGATGTTAAGGTGAATTAATTTTCCTCTTCTGTGGATAAACAAACCCATAAAATATAGAGATTTATGAATCCAGTAGTTGATATTGCTCTGGTAAATTTCTAGTTCATAGCGTATGTCCTGAGGTTATTTTATTTTTTTGGAGGTACTGGAGTTTGAACTCTGGGCCTCATACTTACTAGGCAGGCACTCTGTCACTTGAGCCATGCCTCCAGCCCTATGTCCTGAGGTTATTGCCTTTCCTGTGAAAACTTTCTTTGTAGCTTCAACAGAAATATGTTCTGTTTGCCTCATGTAAGATATGTTAATGCTGTTGTTTTCTTTCTGTGTTTTTTTGTTATCATGGACTGCAGGCTTTTCAGATTATTATATGTTTTTGCCAGTGATCTCCTTTTGATGCTCAAATCCTTTTGACTTAGGCCAGTGTCAGGTCTTTTAAGATTGAGTTCCGTATCCCTCAGCAAAACCTAATGAGTCTTTGGAAACTTTGCTTTCTTTCCTAACAAGGTGTTTAGCTCCATTTTGTACTTTTCATTGCAGATGTGAAATCATCATTTCCCAGTGAGCCTTGAGAAAGTAGCGTTAGAGACCATAATCTAAGCTGAAGAGTCATGTGGGATGATGATGTCTCTAAGCCATTTCAGAATTAGAACAGACAAATATTTTCAGTGTTTTATATAAAGACATGCATTCACATTGATATTTCCAGTCTATGAACTAAATCATATTCCTATGTAAATTCTTGATTCTTTATATCTCTGTATCATGTCAATTTTCTAGTGGCCCCTTTTGTTCTGATTAGGATTTTAGTGAAGTTACTTTATCTGGAGTCATCTCTCATTTTCTGTGGTAATGGCTAGTTTTGTTCATTTGCTTTGGTTCATTTTCTACTTGAACGTTAATATTTTGATATCTCACAGGTCTGAGTTCTTACAGGTGGTGGCTTTCAGCTACAACTGGCTTTCATCTATAATTTACCACCTTCTGAGTCATCTACAATGAAGTAATTATAAAAATAAGTACAAGATTCTTAAACTTGATTTGTCTCCATTATTTAATTTCTAATATTATGACACTTTTGTGAAAGTTAGATTATTTTCTAATGCTGAGTCTATTTTAATCTTTCAAGCGTTTAAATTTATTCTGCTGTTGTAAACAGCATGGAGAGTCCATATTCACAATATTCACAATAGCTAAAATATGGAATCAACCCAGATGCCCTTCAGCAGGCAAGTGGATGAAAAAAATATAGTAGGTTTACCCAATGGAGTATTCTCAGCTCTTTTTCCTTTTTAGTTATTTTTCAAATAGGTTCTTGTATTTATGTCTGGGCCAGCCTGAACTGTGAACTTCCTGTTTATGCTTTCTGCATAGCTGAGAGGACAAGTACGTGCAACCATGTCCAGTTTTCCAACTGTACTGAAGTTTGAACTTAGGGTCTTTTGCTTGTTAGGTAAATGCTCTACCACCTGAACCGTGTCTCTCATGCCTAGCTTTTTACTGGTTGAGATGGGGGTTCATGAACTTTTTGCTTGGGCTGACCTCAAACCCCATCTCTGCCTCCGGAGTACCTAGGATTATAGGCATGAGCCACCATGCCCAGATTATTTTACTTTTTTCCTCATGTGACATAATGTATAAGTTAAGACTGTAATAAAATATATTATTGCCATTGAGGTTTGCCTGTGTTTAGACTATATAGTTTATATTTTTATTTTATAGATGAACATAAAGTATTACCTGCACTATCTGGATGTACAATAGAAGACCATGTAATTGCGGGAAATGTAGAAGAATTTCGTAAAGATTTCATTTCTAGGATATGGCTGACCTACAGGGAAGAGTTTCCTCAAATAGAAGGCTCAGCCTTGACAACAGATTGTGGTTGGGGCTGTACACTGAGAACTGGCCAGATGCTGTTGGCTCAAGGACTCATACTACATTTTCTTGGTAGAGGTAAATCAAATCTGTGTTTTTGTCCATCTTGCATACTGCATAGAACTCCATGAGATTAATTTTCTGCCTCCCTGATGTTTCCTAAAGTAACTAGCCTAGCATATTACATTTTTATTGAACTGGGTCATAAATGTCTTCCATGTAAACATTCATGATTCTCTTTTCAAAACTTTATGTTAAATGTGACTCTTTTTCTTGTCACCATCATTAATTATGGTAGTTCAGCTTTTATTAGCTTTTGGATTTTTTGTGGTTATTATTTCTTTCCCTGCTGGTGTAGCTCTTTGGACTGTCTCTACTTCATTAAATCCTGAGCAGGTCAATCAATATCTGTGACTTTGGAATTAGTATTTTTTTAAGTCTTTAATCTTTTTCTGGTTTATTTTCTCCCTATAAGTAAGACTATAATCAATTATATTAAATTGATTAGACATTCTTAATAAGGTCATCATATTTAGCCTTTTAAACACTCAAAAATGTCATTGATATTAACTTACATAAATTTTTTTGAAATGTGCCACCTTTCTTCTATTAGTCTTTTTTTTTTTTTTTCCCCTCCCAGATAAGCCTTGGTATGTAGCCAAGGCTGGCCTAGAACTCGCTATATATCCCAGGCTAGCTTTGAACTTGTGATCCTCTTGCCTCAGACACCTAAGTGCTGGGATTACAGGATTGCACCACCATGCCTGGCTCTATTAGTCCATTTTTTACATAATGTGTACATTTGTAAGAGGATTTTATTTTACCATTTTAGGCTATCATCTGGCTATTACTGAATAGTACAGATTTTCTTTAAGGTGTTAGACAATATCTCTGCAGTTCATGGCAAATATTTTGTAACCCTCTGTAGAGATTATTGATGAGATTAGAAAAAATGTTTATTCAAGAGTGGTGTGAATAATGCAAGGAAAAAGTGTTTTTTTTTTTTTTTTAAATATGATTCTGGGGATCAAACCCAGGGTCTCGCACGTGCTAGGTACCACTGAGCTATATGCCAAGCCCACTGTGCTTTTTGTTTTTTGGATGTTTTGGTTGTTTTTGGTAAGCAGCTTTATTGAGATGCAATCTATATACCACAAATTCATTCATCTAAAGTGAACAGTTCAGTGGTTCTTAGTATATTTAGAGTTCTGCAGCCAGTATCATAATCTAGTTTTAGAACATCTTTAATTGTTTCCCAGAGAAACCTTACATCCATTGGCAGTTATTCCCGGTATCTCTCCATTAGCAGCTGCAATCCACTTTCTGTCTCTCTCTAGTTTTTAGTTTTCTTTTATAGTTCAGTAACCAATCTGACTTTAAATGCTGCATATTTAATTTAGTTGAATTGTTAGTCTGTCTATTTAAACTATCTGAATACCTTGTTTTGAAACTACTGTAGCTTGGACCTGGCCTGATGCATTGAACATTGAAAATTCAGACTCTGAATCATGGACTTCCCACACTGTAAAAAAATTTACTGCATCATTTGAAGCATCACTTTCAGGGGAAAGAGAACTCAAAACTCCAGCAATTTCACTGAAGGAAACACTTAGGAAATATTCTGATGATCATGAAATGCGAAATGAAACTTATCACAGGAAAATCGTCTCCTGGTTTGGTGATTCCCCCTTGGCTCTTTTTGGCTTACATCAATTAATAGAATTTGGAAAGAAGTCTGGGAAAAAAGCTGGAGATTGGTATGGACCAGCTGTGGTTGCTCACATTTTAAGGTAAAATTGTTTTAAAATCTATCATCTATGACAGGTCTTCATTCAGGCTTAGAAATACTGATTTTTGCAATGTGTACAAACTTTTAAACACTAACTGTGTGAGAATGTTTAGAAAAGAATGCTTGTTTGCTAGTAGGAACAAACAAGGCTTTGTGATTGTAGCTGCATTAACCTACTGACAGATTTTTCTTCTCTTCCTCGTAGTACAGATATCCAGATTTCTTTCTAACTAGGTTTTCATGGACTCTCTTATTGAAATGTTCTAGAACCTAACATCTCTTTCAGCCTTGGGACATGTACAGTGCTACAGGTTTTTTTGGGTAATGTTACATGGAGGCTGTAATGCATTGATAGTGTAATGAAATGTCAATAGAGCTAAAATTGATGTTTTCAGCATTTCTTTGTGTACATCAAATGCTTGTGAATTGTAAGTATATGGGACTATTAATATTATAATTATGTCATAGTAAAAGTAAAGAGTCTGACACTCTGAAAGATAGTTAGAGAAAAGTTGAAAATCAAATTTCTATATTTTAGAAAGCTATATTTTAGCTTTTACATTCTGCTTATGTGGACATTACTTATTTTTAAAAAGTTATCACTATTAACTGAATTATCGATATGTTATCTAAGTACAGTATGTTATGATAAATTTATTCCACTTATAATCATATAAGTTTGAATACTAATATGCCACATTGCTTACACTTGAAAAATTATTGCTTATTTTGTTAATTGGATTATTAATAATTATCAATTTCAACTTCAATGACATTTATAAAAGCATAATCATAGAAGCATAGTTTCTATCCGTTAAGATGTTCAAGGGCTCAGCAAATGTTTTCTGAAAGTGGCAAATAGTAAATATTTTAGGCTTTACAGGCCATATAAAGTTTTTGATGCCCATTTTTGTTCTTTTATTCCTTCTTTATCCTTTAATCCTTTAAAACCATTCTTAGCTTTCAGGTGCATAAAACCAGGCTACCAATTGCATTTGACCTATGGGCTACATTTTTCTAGTTCGTCTTCTATACTAATACATGGGAAATGCATAGCAAGAGTTTAAGTTAAGGAATTACAAGATACAATTAATTAAAAATATTTGTATTCCCCCATTTGTTTAATTTCCTTTTATAGATAGGATTTTTTCCCACAACAAGTGCACCACTGAGAACATTATACTTAGATATATTTTCAATTTTGCAGTGATACCTGTAGAATTCTAAGATTTTTTTTTTTTTTTGGTGGTACTGGGGTTTGAACTCAGGGCTTCACACTTGCTAGGCAGGCGCTCTACCATTTGAGCCACTCCACCAGCCCGAATTCTAAGATTTGAATTAGGAAATTTACTTGTTCAGGTGAAATATTCTCCTTCCCATCATGGTGCTGGAGATCAAATCCAGGACCTCAGGCATGTAGTTTTTTTTTGAATGAAGGGGGAAAAAGTCAGACTGTTGTTTAAAGGAAAGAAAAAAAAAGAAAAAAACAAAAAAAAAAAAACCAAAAAAAAAAAAACAACAAAAAACTCCCCCCAAAATCAAAACCAAAACTTTTATTAGGGTTCCAGAGGACAAGTACAGTGATTCGTTCCCAGCCAGTCATGTAGGTTAATGTGAAGCATATTGTAACACCACTGCTTAGAAAACATTCATTGTAGCCAGGTGTTTGAGAGGTACAGCTTAATACTCAAGAATTTTTTAAAATGTATTTTATAACATATGTTTTAGTGTTCTTTGAGTAATTTAGTGTAATACTTACCTTTGAAAATTTTAACCTGATTTCAGGGGCTGGACATGGTGGTTGACACCTAGAATCCTAGCTACTCAGGAGGCATAGCTAGGAGTAAGGTGCTTTGAGGCCACTCTGGGCAAAATTGGTGTGAGACACTAACAAGATAAAAAACAAAAGGACTGTTGGGGGCATGGCTCAAGTGGTAGAGTGCTTGCCTAGTAAGCAGGAGGCCCTAAGTTCAATTCTCAGTACCAGGGGGAATAAACAAAAAACAACAACAACAAGAAAGAAAACCCTAATTTCTGATACCATTCAGATGATAAAGTTTTTGTTTTTTTATTTTTTTGTGGTACTGGGGTTTGAACTCAGGGTCTACACCTTGAACCATTCCACCAGCCCTTTTTTGTGATGGGTTTTTCGAGATAAGGTCTCCCAAACTACTTGCCTGGGGCTGCCTTTCAGCTGTGATCCTCCTGATCTCTGTCTCCTGAGTTGCTAGGATTACAGGTGTGAGCCACCAGCGCCCAGCCGGATGATAGTTTTTGACTGTAGAGATACAGGTCAGATAGGAAGTTCTGGTAAATGATGCCTTTTTTCCCAGTTAAGCTAAATCATAAGTTACCAACTGGAAATGATAGGCTGTTACAGGATGATGCTTATTATTTTCTTAGAAAAGCTGTTGAAGAAGCAAGACACCCTGACTTACAAGGAATAACAATTTATGTTGCACAAGACTGTACAGGTAAGGAATCTATCTAATTTTTATCTGTATATATTATGTTTGTGTGTTTAACTTATCTGTCTTCCCAATTACATTGTAAATGATTCTGAAGTTAGAAACCATGACTTGCACTTACTAAATACTTTTGTTTGTTTGTTTTGTTTTTTGAGACAGGGTCTCTCTATGTAATCCAGAGAGTGGCCTGGGATTTATAATCCTTCTGCATCTGCCTCTTGGGTGCTGGGATTACAGACATGTACCACCATACCCAGCTTTTCTTTTTCTTGAGATAGGATCTCACTGTGTAACCCAGGCCATCCTGGAACTCATGATCCCCCTGCCTCAGCCTCCCTAGTGCTGGGATTACAGGCAGGCACCACATTCCCAGGCTTCTGTCTCTTTTAAGGTACAGTAGACCCTTAGTACCTTTAGGTATATGATTCTAAGGAGACTGCTTTTGACAAAAAACTGTAAATACTCAGAATGCGTAGACTTTAGTACTGTGTGCCTCCTTTCAACAAATCTACAAATCTAAAATTTTCACTTTATCACTTAAAATGGACACATTAACTATTGCCTTGCTTTGGGGTACCATTTGCTTTTCAGAAGGCAGATTTTCACAAAATTAATGGTGGGGAAACACTTAGCAGTTGTGATTTTGAAACTTTTGAGAGGTAAAAACAGAGATCATAGCACCCTAATATAGTAAAATAAGCCCCTTCATGCTGTTAAGTATTTTTTTCTCTTTTTTTACAGAAAGCTAATAAGAGGCTAAATTGTTACTCTTACAACTAACCAGTGTTTGTAGCGTGAAAACAGTGATTACCAAATACATTTTTGTTTGGCATTTTATTAAGTTTAATTTTCTTTTAAAGAGAGACTGATAGCCATAATTACAGCCATATGAAAATGAAGTTATAAATTTTCAGATAAGCATGTTAAGTTTTGCAGGTACTGTGCTTGTTTTTCAAATAATAGGTCTTGCAAATAAAATTTGCTCTAAGACTTAATTAGGCCTACAGATGTGCTGAAACAACTAATCATTAAATAAATTTATGTTTTGTGCTTTTACTGATATCAGTCTTTGTCTTAATTGTTACAAGTAGTTAATTAAACAAGTAGCACAAAATTCCTCATTATGTAAGTGGTTTGTGTAATTTGAAGTATTTATTAAGTTTTATCATTCTTGTTTAAGAATGTTAAAAGGAGAATTTATATTAATGTGGTTTTATTAGACTATGGGATTAGGACTAGTGAAACCAGAGTCTATAAGTGATATTTCCTTCTAATTAGTGTTTTTATTTTATTTATTTATTTTTGGTACTGGTGTTTAAACTTAGGACCTTGTGATTGTCAAGCAGGCACTCTACCGCTTGAGGCACTCCTCCAGGCCTCATTAATGTTTTTAAAGATTTCATTTTCCACTTATTTTCTCGTTTCTCATTTGTGTTCTTTTCCTTTATAATTAAAAATATTTCCATGGATTTCAATACTTAGGACTATGCACTGTACAGTTGGACTTTAAAAGCTGCCTTTCTAGTCCTGCTTGAGCTAGGATGAAGTAACTTATGTTTTCTGTCCCTCCACCTATCTCTCCCTAGATGCTTCTATAAGCCCAAGCCCTTGAAGTTCAATGTGTTTAAAACTAAACGGTCATTTCCTCTATCTCACCTATTTTTATTTTGTTTTCTCTTGGCTAGTGTATCATTTCACATGCATAGGGAAGGTATAATCCCCTCATTCTTCACTGTTTTCTTATCACTCGTGTCTAGCAAGGAAACAAAAGCTTACCAGTCATGCTTTTAAAATGTTCTCGAAAACTATTCTTTCTGCTTTATTCTCATTGATTTAGATCATAACTTTATCGTAACTTGATTTCCCTGTCTGTACCTTTTCTCTTTTTGATCCATTTGATCAAAAGACATTGATCATGTCCCTTAATTTAAAAACTTGTGACTTCTCCTTAACTCTTCTTTCACATTATCTTAGGCATATAGGGTACACAATTCTAGTATAATTAGCCCCAGTCTACATTTCCAGCATCATTTTGTGACACTATATCATACTTAGTATGCTGAAGTGTGTCAATCTGAATGGTCATTCCTTGGGCATGCTGTTATTACCTTTTTTTTCATATTATTGCCTCTACATGGAGTCCCATTATTATTAGAATATTTCTGTTAACTCTTACTTGTTCATTAAGAACATACTCAAAGATTATGCCTTTTTCCACTCTAACTAGGCAAAATTAGTCTGTTTTCCTCTATCCTTTATAACAGTTTGGAAATACTTCTGTTGAATGTTGCACTTGTAAGTTGCTTGTGATGTCACCTTAAATTATCTGTTTCTCCTTGTAGATCAATGATTACTAAGATGGTAGAAGAGGAGGAAAGGTGTCAGAATCACTTAATTGAGAATCACCACTGTAATAAGCCTCTGCAGCAAAACTGAACTGTCATAACTCTTATATGTGTTGGGGGTGGAGGAAAAATGCAAGAGCTAGATACTCTTTGAAAGTCAGAATCCCCCTAGCACAGAACACACCAATAAAAGGCCCTCGATAAATGTGTATTGAGTGAAGATGAAGGGTAAGAAGTATTTGATAAGTCAGAACCATTATGCCATTTTTGTAGTTTTGTGTTAGACAGACAATGGGAGATAGGAAGCTGGTAAACAGAAGAATTTGATGCTCAGTCTAAATTTGGATTTAAAAGAAAGAACTGGAAGAAAAGCCACAGAATTTATTAATTAGCTCATCTGGGAAGAACAGAAGCATTTGGTTAAACTGACAGGGAATGTGAGTGTAAATTAAGTTTCAAATAAATTATTTTGAACAAAATATTCATTTCTACTAAGTCCTCTATTTTCTTCTGAACGAGTCACTGTCTGTCTCTTAATACCTATTTCTACTTTACCAAAATTGCTCTTACCAATACTTTTCCCCTCGCTAAATCTAGTGGTTACTTTTCAGCCTCATGTCCATGCAGTCTGTCAGCAGCGTTTATCACAGTTGATCACTTTTCCTTCTCCTTGTAATGTTTTGTTTACTTGGTTTCCAGAATACTGCTTTGCAGGTTTTCCTTTTACCTCCTTCTCCCCTTCTTTTCAAGTCTTCTTTGTTGGTTTTCCTTACCTCCTTGGTCTGTAAAGTTGTTTTAGGGCTCAGCCTTTGGATTTCATCTCCTTTTCTGTCTATACTGATTTGAAGTCACCCAATGTCATAGCTTTAGAAGAATATCTGCATGCTGGCAACTCCAAAAAGGTCCATCCTGGTCCACTCCCCAAACTCTGGCTTTATGTTCTCCTAACTGCCTACTTAGCCTCTCTATTTGCTTATCTAACAAGTATCTAAAACTGATGGTGTTTAAAGGTGAGTTTCCCCTCTTCTATTCCTCCATGTCTTTGTAAATGGCAATTTCCTTACTGTTTCTTTATGCCAAAACTGTGCAAGTCACCTGTGACACATTTTTTTCCTCTCACATCTTAACATTTAATAGAAAGTCCTTACTTTATCCTCAAATATATGAAATGATCGCTTTTCCATATAATCATCCTTTGACCATTATTTATTTGACAATTACTGTCTTTATTCAAGCCACCATCATTTCTTTCTGGATAACTGCAGTAGTGTTCTAACTGTTCTCTGTGTTCCTGTGCCCAGGCTCTTGCCTGTACATTCTATTCCTAACACCGTCTAGAGTGTGTTGCAGTTACTTTTTGTATAGTTATGACAAAAATACTTGAGAGTACAACTTAAAGGAAGAAAGATTTATTTTGGCTCTTACTTTTAGGGGATTCAGTCCATAATTGGTGGCCCCATGTGCTTGGGCAGAACATCATGACAGTGGGAGTGTGTGGTGGAGGAGGTTCTTTACTCATGGCAACCAAGTTTCAGAGAGAAGGCACTATGGTCCAGGTGTAACGTATGAAGACACGCCCCCAATGACCTACTTCCTCTAGCTAGGCCCCACTTACCAAAGTTTCCACTACCTCCCAAAATAGATCTACCAGCTAAGTACCAAGCATTCAACATGAGTCTATGTGGGACATTTCATATTCAGATCATAACAGAATGTAAGTCAGATTGGAACATTCTTTTCCTAAGAAATTTTTCAGTGACTTACCATCTCACTCAAAAACTGGTCTTTACAATGGCTTTCAAGAATTCACGTAATCTGACTTCTTTTAATCTGTAGCTTTATCTCCCAATCTCATTTCCTATTGCTTTACCTGCCTCTTGCTTACTTTCCTTCAGACACATTGGTCTCTTGTTCTTAGGACATGCTAACTACACTTTTGACTTCAGGCAATTGTATTTGCTGATCTTCCTACTTGGAATGCTCTGACCCCAAATACCTTTATTTACCTGGTTTCTTACTTTCTTTGTATTACAAGACCTTCCCTGAAATCCTTATTTAAAAAGTGCTTTCTCCTCAGCACTTCCTATCTACTTTTCTCCCTTTGTTTTTCATTAAAGCACCTGTTGTCAACTGACACATCTTATATTTTACTTTTTCTTTTCTGTTTTCCCCTGTTAGAATGGGGACAGGTATTTTTCTCTCTTTTGCCTATTGCTGAAGTTCCAATGACATACATAGTAGCTATTCATTAAGTATATGTTGAATATATATGAAGCAGGTATTTTTAACTTGTTGAGACTTTGATAGTGATGCCAGAGAACAGATAACTGGCCAGTAGAGGGAGGTGGAATTAGTGTAAAAATGTTTCTGAAAATCACTTTTTAGAAAATTTAATAATATTCATTATGTTTTTTTCTCAGTTTACAATTGTGATGTAATTGATAAACAAAATGCTTCCATGACCTCTGGTAATGCAGATGGCAAGGCTATTATTATTTTAGTTCCTGTTAGACTTGGTGGAGAAAGAACTAACACAGACTACCTGGAGTTTGTGAAGGTATGAAAAAATGCTCATGTGTTTTAAGGCACTACTAGTTAATATGAAAACACAGAAGGTTTGCAGTCTTTTTCTATTAAATAAGTAGTGATGATTTTACAGTTGTACATTATAAAGTTTCACATTAGAGATTTTAATGTAAATATTTCAAGATCAGATGTGAGTGTGTGTGTAAAAAGCACAGTGTTGTATGATAAAATGAAAAGCCTTTGAATCTTTGTAGCTAATCAAGGAGTCACATATGCAGCTATAATCAAAATCTGTTATGTGGCTACAATTCCATTATCCTTTTGTGATTTTAAAACTATATTTTATCTTAAAACTAACATGAAACTATATTGAATTCTGTTAATATTGTATTATTTCATAATTTATTTCCTGTGCCACCATGGTATCAGGAGTAAGTTAGATTATTTATATAGACAGAAATAAGACAGTGAGGACGTTTTCCAACTTTGTTTTCTTCATATTAACCACCTGAAAATTTATTTCAAAGCACATAATTCTGTTTCTTGCACTAAAACCTTCTCTAGTTAATTTCAACAGGTTTAAAATTCTATATTCATTCTTATATAGAAAATTCAACCATATTCACTTTCTTTATTTCCTTCTTTTACCCTCCCTTTCTTGTATGTGACCTCCCCTTAGTGTGACCTGTTTTTCATAATATTGCTTGTGTTTGTATTGAAATCCCTAATTTTTTAGGTGTCTGTTTTCAAGGCCAAAGATAGACATTTCCTTGTAATGGAGTACTATGGGATATAGTAATGTAATATAGCCAAGACGTGTCTTTTATGATTCAGCAACGATTTGTTCCCTAAATGAAGCATTAATTGCATATCATGGCATATATATGGGTGTGTATATAACCTGGTGTCTCTGTCTCTCTTTCTCTCTCTGTCTCTGTCTCTGTGTCTCTCTCTGTCTCTCTCTTCTGTGTGTGTGTGTGTGTGTGTATATATATATATATATATAAACATAAATGTATATGTAGACATATGTATATATATATATGTAGACATAGATTGATTAGATTGTGCTAATTCTAAAAATCTAGAGCAGTTACTTTCAATATGTGATATATGTAAGTCTTCTAGCAGGTGTACTGGATTTTCTTAATAGTTACTAAAACTTTAAAGGCATACTTGCTATAATAGTAACAATATTGTAATATATTGAGAACATATGAGTCCAACAAATAAAGGTGGGATTTTGATGTTTGACATGTGGGCTCGTCCAGTTATTGATGGAAGGTGAAAAGTTGTAAACCAAGTCATCTACTGAGTGTGTTGAGGGTTTGGGGACTGCCATCTCTAGGTGAGTTCTAACAAAAAGTCTGAAATGATTCTGTTTCCCTTTCAACTATAACGAGAAGATTAGAAATGGATGTTATATCGGAACTGGATCTTTTAGCCATGCCCTGTCCTGGTGGAACAAGCTACAGATGGCTTCTAGCCATGTTTCATCTGGCTGAGGGCTTTGCTCTTTGGTGGTATTGATACCATTCATCTGATGGCAGCACTGCCTGATGTTCTTGAGTGAATCATTGGAGCTTGAATTGAAGTGAAACAAGCCATGGTTAGTTGTTAAAATGATCCTCAGTACCTACCATATTAGGAGTTGTATAATCAATCTTTCTTAACTCTTACTTGTATAATGCTTTCCAATATAAATTTATCTCATTTTGCTCTCATAATTGCTAGGAACCGGATTGTCTTTATAAAATAGAAAAGACATAGAAGTTAAGTGGTATGTTCAAGTTCAGATAACAAACTGGGAGCAGAACCATTAGTACATTGTGCTTCAAATTTTCCCTCAAAGTAAAGATTTTTGAGGTATTACATTTTCTTAAATGTTGCATAATAGTCCTAAAAGAAATTTTAATCATCAGTGTCTTTTCTTCCTCTTCCTCTGCTCTTTCTCTTTCTTTTCCTCCTCCTCTTGTTCCTTTTTTTTTTTTTTTTTGGTGTGTTTGTGTGTATGTGGTCAGCAGTTGTAATTTTTCCTGCTAAACCAATATACATTATACTCTGAACTTCACCATTCAGTTGTAATTTTAAAATTTATGAATCAAAATAATTCTACAGTATTTTGGAAATGATACCATCCTAGCATCTTTCTATATTCTATAAGAAAGAAATTTGGCATGTGCTTTATTATTTCTTAGCACAAGAGGCTTATCTATCTGTCATCTATGTATCTATGTATCTATGTATCTATCTATCTATCTATCTATCTACCTACCTACCTACCTACCTATCTACCTGCCTATCCATCTATATCTTTCTGTCTATTTATTTATATTTTAAGGACCTGGAATGCAGAAAATCCAATATATTCTTTTTCTTCAACAAGATAAATTAGGACTTTCCTCTTTGGGTGATTGTTTCAGTCTTATTTATTGCCTTGTGGATACAGCTCAATAAATTCTCACTTGTAGATAACTGAAGAAACTCTTTGAGGAACTGAAAAGTGTTTCAAGTTTCTAAAGATAGGGCCTCTTATATGTAATGGCATTCAGGCTTCTAATCTGCTAAGTGTTTATTGCTAAATCTGCTCTAGTCTGTTGCAAAGGAAATACAGATGTCAACAATGGAAGACTTTTTTCCATTATGTGAATCCATTCTTTTTCTGAGGAGAATCAGTGATGATTCTTGCTACATATTTCTTTCTTTTCAGTTATGAGAGACTTAGAACTTTCACTTCCTCATTTGTTCCTTAGGGCATAAACATCTCATTTCAGCTGATCAGATTGTCTCAAATAGACCCTCCCAACTGTATTAAGGATTTTTATTTAAGGGAAAAGCAATAGCATCCTTAAAGTTAAATAACTCTATTACCATTAAATGTTTGTCTTTTTGGTAAAATTTTATCTTTTTTTTTTTTTAAATTAGCTCAGATTAGCTAAGATCTTAATCCAATATGGCTTTTTTTTTTCAATTGCAGCTCTCCTTTTCAAAAAAAAAAATCATCTGATATTTTTACAAGACTGAAAATATACAAGGTCATTCTTTAGAGGGTGATTTAATCTATTTTGTGCTGCTATAACAGAATACTTTAGACTGGGTAATTTATAATGAACAGACATTTATTCTTTCACAATTGGGAAGGCTAAAAAGTCCAGGAACAAATTGCCAGCTTTTGATGAGGGTCCTCATGCCCTGTACTCAAATAGAAGAAGAGCAGGACAGAGAGAACCCTCTTCCTTCAAGCCCTTTTTATAGTTGCATTAATCCCTTTATGAGGATGGAGCCCTGTGTTCTAAACACCTCTAAAAGGTCCCACCTCTCAAAACTGTTGTACTGGGAATTGAGTTTTCAACAAAAACATTCAAACAGTAGCAGAGAATTATTTGTAGCAGTTAAAATCTAGAGCAAATTAAATATTCATAAGGGTTTTAAAGCATATTTTATTTACATAAAATAGAACATTTGTAGTGATAAAATATAATAACACCTATGATATGATATGATATGTGAAAAAATGTTCATGACATAATGAGTGACAAAATAGCATATGCCATATAATGCCACACATATAAAATTGTATGTAATTAGTAATTCTGTATGTGATTATATGGAATACTGACAGATGTCAAGAAGGTGTTCTCCCAAATGTTTATAATGATGAACTCTAGGTATTAGAATCTTGGGAAATTTTTACTTTTTTTCTGTTTTTTTAAAATCTGTGATTTGGTTACTTGCTAAAGGAAAAAGAACATTTGTCCTGATAGATGCTCCTCAACTTACAATATGGTAATGTTCCAGTAAGCCCATTTTAAGTCAAAACCTCCCAAACGTCATAGCTGACCAACACAGTATACAAATACTATAGAGAATTTGTTGTCTACCCGTCACGATCCCCCTGACTGACTGGGAGCTGCAGCTCACTGCCACTGTCTACCTTCAAAAGAGAGTATCATATTATATATTGGTACCCTAGGTAAATATCAAAATCCAAAATTCAAAGTATGGCTTCTAATGAATGTGTATAGCTTTCACACCATTTGTAGTCAAAACATTGTAAGTTAGGATCCATCTATATACATACTTACAATCTGTGGAGTTTAGAACATACATTAAAGAGAGGGGAAGTTTAACTATTTAATAATTTTGGACTTTTATAACATATTTACCATTATTAGTATTGTATAACATGTCAAAATTAATGCAAAACTTTTGATAAGACATTGATTGATTCCTCTAAATGTTTTAAATTAACTCCACTAAGCCTATTTTTGTAAAAAAAGGCACAGTTACTTGGCTCAACTTATGGAGTTTTTTTTTAGAATATTTAGTATGCTGAGCCACATTCTGAATAATTTATTGAAACATCCCTGATATTTTTTGATTTGTAAGATAAACAGGGTTTAAATAAAAAATAATAGTCATTTTCCTTGTATTAAGTTGTTTTACTCTTTATGTTTAAGTACACAAATAATTTGTCAAGGTGAGTGCTTTTCAGTTTGAGGTTCTGAGACTCAAAGTTCAATGAAAACAGTAAAAAGGTTTTAAGAACTAGTTTTAGCATTTCAAAAGCCTGATGAGAATATTACATTGGTCACAGTGAGGCTGTACTAACTAGTTGAAAGGCCAAGCGTTTTCACTGTGGCATGAATTTTATTGCTTTCATGTGTTTATTTTTTCTGTGGTAGTTGTCTAATGTTGCTAAGCAACGTACCGATGAGAATATTTGACTTAGTTAAATTAATATTACGTAACTTTAAAGGAAGAGATGGCAGTTAGGAAGACGAGTGCAGAATGTGGGGCAAGTAGTAGTAGATAAATAGTTGGCAAAAAGTTTGTAACTACTAAAATTGTTAATATGAATTTGGCTGTTTAGGTAATTACCATTTGTCTTCATCTAAATCTGCATCAATTTTTTTGGCAGGGTGTTTTAAGTCTTGAATATTGTGTGGGAATTATTGGTGGCAAACCTAAGCAGTCATATTACTTTGCTGGATTTCAAGGTTAGTGAGTCAGTAAAATACATTTCTTCATTGTTTTCTTTTAAAAGTCAGAAAGTTAATAAGAGATCATGTGGAAATAGGAAGATTAACAGAGCAAAATGAGTACCTTATACATTCATCAGTCCTACCCTAGCCATTCATTTGTCATTTGGTCCATGAGATAATTGGATTCTGTAAAATGTATGTTTAATTTCAGTTATTGCATAAACAAGGCATAATTTATTGGTTTCACTAAACTTCAGAAGACATTGCTGCCACATTCTGGCAGTTGCTATTTACATATTTACTTTTTACCAGTTTTAGTGGTGTTAGTTGATGATAAAATGACAAGCAATATGTTCTTCCTGTCAGAATAAAGAAGTGCGTTACATTTTTCATATGCAAACTGTAGAATATAATTGTGTGTTTGTGAAAGTAATTTTATCACCAAAAATTAAATGACAGTCTCATCACTTTATAAAAAATTCTGCTTATACAAGCATATTTGATTATGCAAGTTAATCTATCCTGTGCAAACCTATGTTTCAGTCAATGAATATCAGTCTGGCAAGCTGTGTCTCCTAGATTTTTTTTAGCTGTTCTACATAGAAATTGGATTGTAAGCAGTGTAATAAGAAGGTGTTTTTGAATTACTTGTCTTCTGTTTTGTCCTTGTAGATGACAGTTTGATTTACATGGATCCTCATTACTGCCAATCCTTTGTGGATGTCAGCATAAAGGACTTCCCTCTTGAGGTACTGTGTATAGAGAGCTGGTATTGTTTTCTTACCAGATGAAGCAAACTAATTATTTAAAGATGTTCTAGGTAGCTGTGCATTTGTAGTATTACAATAACAAGTTAACAATTGATATTTTACTGATTTATAAAACCATAGTCAACACAGTGGTCAAAGGTTAAGTACTTTGTTGCTGAATCTTAATTTATAATATACCTTCTTCTTTATTTATCTTAGTCACTAACTTGTTAGTTACCTTAGCCCTACTAAAATAAATAATTAAGCCTCTGGGTAGTTTTGTAGAAAGACAGCTAAACAGTGCTAAAGAATTGAAAGTGTTAGGTATATTTTTAAAAAAAGAGGAAAAGAAAAGAGAAAAGATGATAGACTTGAGGTAGAGTGACAAAATAAGATTATCTGCTAAATTATTTTGCTTAATATAGTAATTAAATCTATCCCTCAAGAAAAAAAGTCTTAGCCTCTAATTAAGAAGTTTTCAATAACTTAGTTGAGTTTCTAAAATTTTCTTTTTAGCTTTTATTTCTTATCTTCTTTCCCCTTATATAGCTCATTTTGTGACCCAAGATTTAATTCAGGAAAATTTGAGCGTTTGTAGATGAGACATGTAATTATTATTACATTGTTTCTTTTTTTTTTCTTTTGTTAGTTGATGCTTTTACTAAAGGGATTTTATAGAATAATTTTAATTACTTGAATGGTATAGATCACTAATACCTCAAGGGCTTGACAAGTTGGAAATCTGATTAAATGCTTTGTTGTATTAGTAGCTTTCTAGTTAGCATCAATACTTAATAGTTTTTAGGGATCGATTATGAAAATAAACTTCAAGATTGAAATGTGGTTTAGAAAGATACATTATAAAACATCCTAGCATCCTTTGTAAATTATTACCTCAACTAAAATGGAAACACCTTGAGGCTAGAGATCAGGTTTCTTTATTCTTCCTTCTTCCACAATATCTTGCATGTGAACTTAATAATATTTACCAGATGACTGAGTGAAATGGGGCTGGTGCCACAGAATTGTGCCATGTGAACCACATTGTAACTCTGTTTCTGCTGCATTGTGGTTTTGTGGTACTGATTAAATTGCATCTCTAATATATCTGAGACCAAATGACTACTTAAAACAGTAGACACTTGAAATTCAGATGGAAAATTGTTCATAGTATTTTAGTACTATTTAAAGTAGGCAAAACAAAAGATTATTGGTTTTAATTATTTTGGCCAGTAGAGAGGGACTATCCATCTGATACTTTGAGAGGCTTTGCATAGATGGCAGATGAGTGAATATCCTGGTTATGTCTGCACGGTCAAGAGTAGAAATGTTAGCTGGGCTCATGCTTGTAATCCTAGCTACTCAGGAGACAGATATCAGGAGGATTGCAGTTTGAAGCCAGCCTGGGCAAATAGTTCGAGAGACCCTATCTCAAAAAAACCCATTACAAAACAGGGCTGGTGGAGTGGCTCAAGGGGTAGGCCCCAAGTTCAAACCCCACGACTGCCAAAAAAATTAGAAAGTTTGCAACTCATTATTGGGAGTCCATTGCAACCCTCCAGGAGTGAGGCAACAAAAGCTTGAAGTGGCATGGCAGTAGTGGCAATGGAAAGGAAGAGTAGATTTAAGATTTTACTTTGTAAAGTAAAATTTGTTGAAATTGGGTAACCTAAATGCATAGAACTATTCTTTATACATTAGAACGCTAATGGTTTGAGATTTTATATTTTTGAGATTCTGGCAGAATATCTTGATTTATCTGGATAATTTCTCTTATAAGTTTTTCATTTTTCTTTGATGAAGAGATTTATCTTAGATTATTTGGTTAATAGCCCTTTAATTTTCTTATTAGTGTATTAAATTATAGCAAGTTATTTATCTTTGCACAGGAATGAAATTTCACTCTCTGCTTTCACCATGTGTTACGTTTATAATGCTCCAAGTAAGGATGTTTTAACTATATTACTAATCAGCCACGCTTTGCTGTCTTGGTTATATATATATATATATAGTTTATATATATAAATATGTATATATAGTTTATATATATATGTAACCAAGACAGTAGCATATATGTATATGCTACTGAAATTTTGTGACTGATATAGTATATTATATGTGCATTCTAAAACCACCCTCATACTTCAATTATTAAAATCATTTTTGTAGTCAACATTTTTGATCAATACTTCTTTTGGTCAATAGAGTAAATCTTGATCTTTTAGATTCTATGTAAGTTCTTGTTTGTGGTCCTGATATTTTAAACGAGTGCCCTAAATCCAATAGGATTATGAAATTTTAAGTAGAATATTTAAGACTAAAGAAGAGATTTAAATAGATTATATACTTTTGTTATTATTCTTATACTGTTAAATTCTTAGTTTCTAAAGTTGAACTTTTAACATTTTGAAAACAAATCAGACCAATCTATTTCTTTTGAAGCTATCATTTGTTGAGCCTTTGCTAGGTACAAAGCATTGTCCTAAGCTCTCTAAAGGCTTCTGTTGAACTCCTTTCTTGTAGTTTCAAATGCTTTGATTATATGTGTTTGTATTAATTTTTGATTCTTGTGACATCTTATAAATATATTAGTATATACAATTAGTTTATACAAAGTTAGTGTTTACTATTGGGTTTTTATACTATTAAAGAAAATCTTGACCATTTTTTCAGAAACATATTTCATTGCCACAGAAGCAAATGTATGTAGTGGACACTCCCAAAATGTGTATGCAAAGTAGAAGCTATTTTTACCAAATGTCAAACTTTTAAAAATTAAGAGAAATCATACATGCAGTGCTTAAAGAATTATCACAAAATGAACATAGCCCTGTAATGACACTTGGGAAAATATTTGAAGGGAAAATATTTGAAAGTCTAACTTGCTTTACAATAAACAGAAATGATTCTAAATTACAAATTAATGCTAGTTTGACTTCAGAATATTTGGTGAATAATGCAACATAATTTTAAATTTAAGTGATATAAAATATCTTTCTGTAGTTCTAGTACTTATGCAGTAAAACCAAATAGCAATTTCAGTTTTCAGTGATCAGTGATTTATATCTGCTTTTGTGAATAATTTTAAAAAGTTCTTTGTAGATACCAAAATAACCATAAATGACAATTTGGTGTTTATCATTATCTATGATGATTGAGGCAATACAGTGAAATAGAAGGAAGCCTGTTCTAGTTAGTAATTGGTTCCTACATGAAAACTTTAAGCAGTGCTTTAGTATACTACAAGACACCTTCTTTTTTTTTTATTGTTTTATTATTCATGTGTGCATAGAAGGCTTGGGTCATTTCTCCCCCCTACCCCCACCCCCTCCCTTACCACCCACTCCGCCCCCTCCCTCTCTCCCCCACCCCCTCAATACCCAGCATAAACTATTTTGCCCTGGATAGGTAAGACACCTAAAAAACTAGCTAGCATTTGTTGCCCTTAACGCAGAGAAACTAAAGCAGATACCTTAAAGCAACTGAGGCCAATAGGAAAAGGGGAACAGGTACTAGAGAAAAGGTTAGATCAAAAGAAATTAACCTAGAAGGTAACCCCATGGCACAGGAAATCAATGTGAGTCAATGCCCTGTATAGCTGTCCTTATCTCAACCAGCAAAAACCCTTGTTCCTTCCTATTATTGCTTATACTCTCTCTACAACAAAATTAGAAATAAGGGCAAAATAGTTTCTGCTGGGTATTGAGGTGGGGGGGGAAGGGAGGGGGTGGGGGCAGGGGGGAGAAATGAACCAAGCCTTGTATGCACATATGAATAAAAAAAAAAAAAAAAAACAACTATTTTGCCCTTATCTCTAATTTTGTTGAAGAGAGAGTATAGGCAATAATAGGAAGGAACAAGTGTTCCTGGTTGAGATAAGGATAGCTATACAGGGAGTTGACTCACATTAATTTCCTGTACCTGTGTGTTGCCTTCTAGGTTAATTCTTTTTGATCTCACCTTTTCTCTAGTTCCTGGTCCCCTTTTCCTATTGGCCTCAGTTGCTTTTAAGGTATCTGCTTTAGTTTCTCTGTGTTAAGGGCAACAAATGCTAGCTAATTTTTTAGGTGTCTTACCTATCCTCACCCCTCCCTTGTGTGCTCTCGCTTTTATCATGTGCTCAAAGTCCAATCCCATTGTTGTGTTTGCCCTTGATCTAATGTCCGAATATGAGGGAGAACATACGATTTTGGGTCTTTTGGACCAGGCTAACCTCACTCAGAATGATGTTCTCTAATTCCATCCATTTACCAGCTAATGATAACATATCATTCTTCTTCATGGCTGCATAAAATTCCATTGTGTATAGATACCACATTTTCTTAATGCATTCGTCAGTGGTGGGGCATCTTGGCTGTTTCCATAACTTGGCTATTGTGAATAGTGCTGCAGTAAACATGGGTGTGCAGGTGCCTCTGGAGTAACCTGTGTCACAGTCTTTTGGGTATATCCCCGAGAGTGGTATTGCTGGATCAAATGGTAGATCAATGTAGTGTTTTAAGTAGCCTCCAAATTTTTTTTCCAGAGTGGTTGTACTAGTTTACATTCCCACCAACAGTGTAGGAGGGTTCCTTTTTCCCCTCATCCTCACCAACACCTGTTGTTGGTGGTGTTGCTAATGATGGCTATTCTAACAGGGGTGAGGTGGAATCTTAGTGTGATTTTAATTTGCATTTCCTTTATTGGCTAGAGATGGTGAGCATTTTTTCATGTGTTTTTTGGCCATTTGAATTTCTTCTTTGAGAAAGTTCTGTTTAGTTCACTTGCCCATTTCTTTATTGGTTCATTGGTTTTGGGAGAATTTAGTTTTTTAAGTTCCCTATATACTCTGTTATCAGTCCTTTGTCTGATGTATAGCTGGCAAATATTTTCTCCCACTCTGTGGGTGTTCTCTTCAGTTTAGAGACCATTTCTTTTGATGAACAGAAGCTTTTTAGTTTTATGAGGTCCCATTTATTTATGCACAAGACACCTTCTTAGATGAGTGAAAAATATGTTAATGGTCCTTATACAAACTTTTTGGCTCTCTTCTTTATCTTCAAGTAATTAAAAACTAAATATTCATCATTGTTGGTTTGGAATAAGTTGGGCACATGGCTGTTTTTAGATACCTTGTATGTAGAATAATTTCTTGCAAATATCATCCAGAACAATATCTTACACCCTAATGTACTCCTGTATATTGTACCTAACATGTTTACTTAGCTTTTCTCTACTTCTCCAGACCTGTCTTTAATCTCTTTGAAAACAAAATAGGTCAAACAATATTAGGAAAAGTCTAATAAGACAATACTTGTGTTGACTAGTACCCTGGAGGTTCTGGTTTAGCTAGGTTGGCTCTTACATATAAAGTAAGTGTTAGTTAAATATTTTGTAGAAGTCAGAGTTTTGAAAATTCATTTGTTTGGTCTATATTTCTTGTCATACTATTTGATCTGAACCTAATATACAGTTGGACTATTCATAAGAGAAAAGCAACTTGAATATGTGCATTTTGCATCTACTCTGGTGATAATATGGCACACTAATGAGGTAACCAGGCTACAGGAGAGAAAAGAGAGTGACTTTGATTGATTCATCATGAATGTAACAAATATGAAATATGACAGTCTATATACTTTTCTGCATTTTTTTCTTTTTAGACAATACTGGGGTTTGAACTCTAGGCAGGTACTCTGTCACTTGAGCTACACTCCAGCCCTTTCTACTTTGGTTATTTTTTTTTAATTCCTGATGATTCTTTTTGTTTGCTTGTTTGTTTGTTGTTTAAGATATGTATACAGAAAGTTTCATTATGACATTTACATGTACATATGTATTGTATCCTGAATTGATTCATCCCCTCCATTTTTCTCTTGCTTTAGTCATTTTAGAGATAGAGTGGCCTGGACTGTCATCCTCCTACTTAGACTTCCCATGAGCTGGAATAACAAGCATACATCACCATGTCCATCTTTTGTGTTGAGATGGGGGTTTCCACTAGTTTTTTGCCTGGGCTGGCTTTGAACCATGATCCTCCCAATCTCTGCCCTCGAGTAAATGGGATTACAGGGATGAGCTATAGCACCTGGCCTACTTTGGTACATTTTAATTGAGAGTTTCAAGTTAAAGTCCCTTAATTTTAAGGCATTGAATGTAGGGAAATACTACATTTATAAATTCAAATCCAGCCTAGATTATTTCTTAATTGAACTTATTCTTTAATTCAGAAACCTAAAATGCACAATGAAGAATTTCCCATATCTGTCTCCCATCTGCTTAATTCTCTCCCTTCTCCCCAAACATTAAATTTTGTATATCCTCACAGAGTTTATGCAGATGTAACAAATATGAACATATAGTCTTTGTCCGACATTTTTACATAGACTTTTTTTTAACTTGATAACATTAATGATTTTAAGGCCATGATATCCAAGAATTCAAGCACTTTAAAAAGTGTCTTCTAAACATAGTACTGTACTATTGTGGTGAAGAACAAGAAGTTTGGAATGATAAGCTTTTATATAGTCCTTTTCTTTCTTTTGTATTCCCTAAAGGTTCCACACCCTACTTGTAGCGAAATTCCATTAGCAAGAGTAGAGAAAGTAAGACAGGTGCCTAGCCCATCTGTATGTGTAGAACACTGTGACCATTTAGAGACATGAACTTAAAGGGATAGGAGGATGGGGAAAGAGGGCAAGGACATGATGGGTGGGTTCACTTGCTTAGCCTTGTGCCTTGTTTGGGACTAGACAAGGACGTAAAGTAAAGCATATCAGAAGAGCAAGTTGGAAGAGTATACAATTGTATGCTAATTTTGTCAATTTCTGAAACTGGCCAGGTGAGTTTTTGTCAGTGCAGGACATTTACCTAAGTCTGTATCTTGGCTCAGAAGGCCTTGATATCCTTATGAAAAGGTTTGTTAGCATTAAAAGATCTCTGACAAGATAGGCTTGACTGCTGCTTCATAGAAATGCTATTTCAGTGTCACTGTTTCTCTTCCCTTTCTGTGTTAGCATAGAAATGTATACCACTCTTGCTTTCTTTTGCAGAATAACACTAATGTCAGTTAAGGTGGAGATTTGGTGAATTAAATATACAAAATGTTGAATCTTGTGTTTTAAAGCTTTGGGGAGTGTGGAGAGGAGTGAGAAGGCAAGTGGAAAGAACTAAAATATCATTTGGAAATGTGTTTATAGTTTGGAAAGAAAGCTAGATAGTAAATTTTAAATAATATTCTTGTGTATACTTAAGTCCATCAAGAAAAGTTAAATTAATCCTAAACAACTTTAAAAAATTTCAGACATTCCACTGCCCTTCTCCCAAAAAGATGTCCTTTCGAAAAATGGATCCTAGCTGTACAATAGGATTTTACTGTCGAAATGTTCAGGACTTCAAACGAGCTTCTGAAGAAATCACTAAGGTACCTTATTTCAAATATTATATAATAACATTTGTGAGTGACCTAATTTTTGCTATAAATAGCCTGTAAAAAAGACAAAAAAATGTTAACTTCTGATGTTTTGTAAAATTTGCCCCTTTATTGGGGTTGAGAGTTGTTGAGACAGGCTCTTCCTATGTAGCCTAGGCTAGTCACCTTATTCATTATAAAGACCAGGCTGGCCTTGAACTCTCAATCCTCCTGCCACAGCTTCCTGAGTGCTGGGATTACCACCATGGCCCACTAAAATTTCTCCTTTAATGTTAATATTATTAGGAATTTTGTGAGATGGAAAATAAAACTTTTCATTTGGGGAGTTAGCCTTTAAAGACAAATGAAACCAGTAACAAGTTGAAAGTATTTATTGTTCCACTAGGTGGCACTGTTGAAATAAAAATCCTGCAAACTGTAGACCTGGGCAAGCAATTAGGTTATATTCTATTTGAAGAGGATTTTAAAGGGCAACCCTTAGGGGTAGAAAAAAATTAATGAAGTATTTGATTAAGCCAAATTGTGCATTATTTCTTGTTAGTCCAAGTGCTGCTGCTGCTGCTTTTTTTTTTTTTTTAAAGACATGGTAGTTTTGGATTTCTCAGAACTGCTTTATCAAGTGAGCTGTGTTGTTACCTTCCAATAAGCTTGTCTAGTCTGATCTATTCTGTGTACAGGATCTTTAAAATAGGTTTATTTAACTTCTTATTGCCTTTAAACTTCTGCATGTTTTTGGCTCTTGAGTACTGCTAAAACACTTACAGAGCTTTAAGTAGCCTTATTTTTAGTATAGGGAAAAAAAAAAAATACTTTAGGGTAAGTAAATTGGAGTCTGATTGTGAGTAACAATAAAGCTTGTCGTAGTCTGATCTATCGTGTACAGGGATCTTAAAAGGGGTTTAAGTTTAAACTTCTTATTGCCTTTAAACTTCTGCATGTTTTTGGCTCTTGAGTACTGCTAAAACACTTACAGAGCCTTAATAGCCTATGTTTAGTATAGGAAATAAAAAAAAATACCTTTAGGGTAAGTATAATTGGAGTCTGATTGTGAGTAACAATAGTTAGAGATTATCCTTTTTTTATAAGTAGAACCAATACTAGCTCATTGTTTGAATTTTTAACTTGTGCTTAGGAATAGTAGTAATTTTATTACTGTTTTACTTCTTGTTAATTTTATTCAAGAAAATTGACATACTAGGCTGAATTTATATTTTAACAATGTAAAAATAGAATGAAAAAATCTCATATAAAATAAGTTTAGTTTACTTACTCTACCATGTAAAAAAGGGAAATTTAACTGGAATGTGACAGAAAAATAAATGAGAAGAAGAGAAAATGAGACATGTGAGACCCTTTCATTTCTCACAGTTGTCTTCTTTTCATTCTCCTTGTTATCATGGAAAGCCAAGTGAACAGAGCAAAACATGTAGCCTCCATTTTTTCCTTCTTTTAATGCTTGAAATTAGTGCTTACATTTGTGTATTTTGGTTTGATAATTCTTGGGGTTTACTAAAATATATAAATGCAGGTCACACTGTGATACACCTCGATGTCGAAGAACATTTTCCATTAAGTCCCATTTCTCTGTTTTCATTAGTTTATCTTCTGTTTAAAGTAAGTGTGTTTAGAACAGCAGAGCAATCTACTGGAATAGAAATAAACCAGATTATTATTACGAAATTAAACAACATATTTATAAATGAGTTACATATTGATGTTCTCTGATTAAAAATAGTTATTATGGTTTTTACTCTGGAATAATAATTAGAAATTATTGCTTTTAATGCATTAAGAATATATGCATTATTAAAGCAAGAGAAATTGCTGAAACGTCTTCTGAAACTTGAGAATTTTATAAGAATCAATTAACTTTGCTGTTTTTAAGATAGTAGCTTTTTGTAAGCAGTATCAAAAACTCTGTCAGTTAATAACTTGATCATTACTTTTGCTTGGGTAGTTGTAAGTAAAGCAGGTTTTTTTTTTCTTAAAATCTGAATTTGATATTTTCATCTCTTGAAAAATTAAAACAACTTAAAAAAGTATTTACATAAGGCTGTACCTTCAGTTTTCTCATTTTGAAAATGAAGTTAGGCAGTCTAGAGTCTCACATTTAATTTGTAAAACTTTGTTAATATTCTCTTTATGCTGTGTGATTTAAAAAATTAATAAGAATCATTAAATTAATTTAGTGTTTAGCAGAATCCAGCAAGTATCCATCTAACTTGTATACAAAGCATAAAATGACCAAGATATAATCTGAACTTTTGAACAAGATATAAAGCTTCTGCCCTCAAGTAACATTTATGCTTGAGGAGAGGAAAAAAGACAAGTAGACATATATTACAATGAATATGGTAAGCATTCATATGGAAATAGAAATAAATTGATAGGAGAAGGAAGAGTGTTGAAATGAGAGCGATGTCACATCCAAGTCAAAGTACTTTATTGTGATGGTGATATTTAAGATGAGCCTTAAAATGTGGGCTTAATTTCCATTGGCTTACTGAGAGGGAGGAGTACTTCAATCTGAGGAAATAATAGGAAGGAAGGTACAGGAGAAGCAAACTGTAGAGCTCATCTAGAGAATGGCAAATAGTCCAATTTGATGGATGCCCAGACAGGATTTCTGCCTTCTGACTACCTGAATCAGAATCCCTAAGGGTGTAGCCTGGGAACCTCCACTTCTAACAGGCCTCCCAAGCAGTCTTGTACACCAAGAGAGCCACTTGGTGTAAGATGCTGCAACCCAAAGTGTGATACTTGATGATGTTTTCAGGTGAAGCTAAGACACATTTTAATATATACATATTTATACTCATATTAGAAAAATCGTAACTGGCATATTTAACATGTGACTTCCCATTTTTATTGACTGTACAAAGCCACTTAAGTTATAAATGATGAAAAGGAAAATATTTTTTAGTCATAATAGAGATGGCAATATATAACAAAAATAAGGTGATTGTGTTAAGTGTCCAAGGTTTAGGATATACTGATATGGGAATCAGTGAAAGATCAGGTTAGGAAACTACATTAAAATATTACTATGGAGAGACTTGAATACCAGGCTGAAGAAGTGCATACTAATTATTAATTTTATTACATCAATTTTCAAATTTCAAGCAGAAATATAAAGAATAATATAACAAATGCCTTTATTCTACCATTGAGCTTATAACAACTTACATTGTAATTGAAGTGAGTATCTTTCTTTAGTCTTATTCCTTTTTTCCCTTCCCACTGATAACTCTAACCTGAATTCCCATACATTGTATATCCATAAACAACATATATTACTTTGCATAGTTATCAAACTTTCTAGATAGTAGTCACTTCTACAATATATTCCTTTTTATTTAAACTTTTTGTTGTTGATTGCCATGAGCTTGTTTCTGAGACCCTAAAATTGCTTATTTTATTTTTAAATTGTAAAGAATATTTTAAAGAATATTCTTGTACATCACTCTTTGTGTATGCCTAATACTTTAGCTAGGATTACATTAGATACAGCAAATACATTAGAATGGAAATGTTGGACATAGGGTACACATATTTTTAGATTTGCTAGATGTCGTCAAATGCTCTCCAAAGTGATCATAGGAAGAATAAGAATTTCCAGTGCTTCTCACTATTAACAACACTTGAGATTGCCAGACTTTAAAACTTTAACCAATCTCGTGGCTGTGAAATAGCATCTTTTTGTAGTTCTAGCATGTATTCTTCTCTGATAGTGCTGTGAGCATTCCTCCAGTTCATTGCCCGTTCAGTTTCTCTTTTGTGAATTTCTTGCTCATTTGCTTTCTCTGTTTTTCCGTAGGACTTTTTAACTTGAAGAAAATCTTTATAATTCTGGATTCTACAACTTTGTTGGCTCTATGTGCTGCCAATATATTCTGCTAGGCTATTATTTTTACTTGTTAATGGTGTCTTTAATTTTAATACAGTCAAATTGATAACTCTGTTTTCCTTATGGTTTTAAAGTTTAATATTAAAGAAAACTTTACTAGTCAAAGATCATAAACACATTCTACATTTCCCCCATAAGTTTTGTGCTTCACATTTAGAACTCATACATGTTTTCCTCACATGGATAAATGATTGTTTCAGCGTCCCTTATCAAAAAGTCTACCCTTTCTTTATTGGTTTGTATTCCCTTCATCAAAGACCTGAACTAGAGCAGAAGCTGTGGGATTGGAGATGAAGGAAAATGATTTGAGAAAATTGTGAATGTAGAATTAGTAAAATCAAGCAGCCACTTGGACTTGGGGTCAAGGAAAAGGGAGCACTCACAGACAAGTCTGTTTTACATCTAGGTGACTAGGAGGAAAAAAAATCAGTAGTTCATTAGTATAGTCATTCATTTAGTCAACAAGCGCTTGAGTGCCTTCACCTGCCACTCTACCAGAACTCCTTTGCGAAGTCACTAATGACCCCATGATGCTAAATCCATTGGTCAAATCTTGGTTCCATCTCACATGTCCTAACAGAAGTATTTAATGTAAGTGGACACCTAGTTCACGTTCATACACCTTTACTTCGACTTCCAGGGCACCATACTGCCTTGGTTTCTTTACTATTCAATAATTAGTTGCTTTTTCTTAAGTTTCTTTGGCCCCAATCTGTTAATGTTGGAGTACCCTAGGGCTTAGTCTTTTATTCTCATCACTTCTTTATCTTGGTGATCTCATCCAGTTGTACAGTTTTAAATAACAATTCTAAGTCAGCTAAAACCAAGATCTTGTCTTTAGCCCAAACATCTTTTCCAAATTATAGACTATGTATATGTGTGTGTGTATGTATATATATATGTATATATATGTGTGTGTGTATATATATACATATATAGCCAACTGTCATTCAACATCCCTTGCATGTCTAATGTGCATTTGCAGAATCAAACTCCTGATTATCTGTCTCATACCTGTTCTACTTATAGTTTTCTTTACCTCAGTTCATGGGAAGTTTGTACTGTCTGTTCAGGCCAAAAGCCT